TCTTCCGATCAAGATATTGCCACTGGTGTTATGCAAGATCAGGGAGGAGGATACTCATCGCCCCGAACTGGCCGAACCAGCCTTGGTTCCCCGACCTGACAGAGCTGCTGGTGGCGCCGCCCTGGCTGATCCCCAACAGGAAGGATCTGCTGTCTCAAGCAAGCGGCTCGGTGTGGCACCCGAACCCGGAGTTATGGAGCCTTCATGTGTGGCTGCTTCGGGGATGTCAGAGGAGCTGAGCGCCCTGCATTCTCATGTGCTCGACATGCTCTCTCCTCCATGAGGCGTTTGTATGCTCTAAAATTGGGGAGTGTTTGTGAAATGGTGCCCTGATCATATTGACCTGGCTGCTTGCTCCGTGTCGGATGTTCTGTGTTTTCTACAGTACAGACTGGATAGTGGATGTCTACCATCAACACTGAAAGTCTATGTGGCCGCTATTGTCTTGTTTCGTTCCCCACTGGGCGGGCAATTGATCGATAGGCATGCGCTGGTGGTGAGTTTTCTTAAGGGAGTGAGGAGATTGCTTCCCCGCGTCCACCTTCAGTTTTGCCCTGGAACCTAGAGGTGGTGTTAAACGACGATATTTAGTCATAATTTTCGTTGATGAAAGCAACACTATTAAGAGCTCGTTCACAGCCACCATTTGAGCCTTTAACATCCGTTGCTATGAAGGAGCTACCTCTCAAAACTGCACTTCTTCTTGCCCTCGCTTTGGCTAAGTGCATAGGGGATTTACATGCGTTTTCTGTGGACAGCCACTGTATTCGCTTCAGACCTGGTGACTGCAGCGTCACTCTCCGGCAGAGACCGGGCTACGTGCCTAAATCACTATCTACCCCCTTCAGAGCGCAGACTGTTTCGCTGTCTGCCATGTCTTCTGAGTCATTGACCTCACGTGGTGCATACGCTCAGATTTCGGTGTGCCCCGTCAGGGCCACCGCCCCTGGTACATCGATGTATTTTTGAAAAGCAAAAATTAAGTTTGTCCAACTCTAAACCCAGTCCCCAAGTAAATTAGGTTATTAAATAAAAAACTAGCAAAACGAGTTTTCAAAGCAAAGTTACGCCACTGGTGCAAGGGCATGTCAGCTTCGGGGCTGTGGTCAGAACCTCAGAGCCGGTAGCACTTTTGGACGCTATCATGGCTGCTTATACGAGCCAAGGTTTGGAATGCCCTTTGCACATTAGGGCCCACTCAACAAGGGCTATCGCCACCTCCTGGGCGTGGTCGAGAGGTATGTCTATTCAGGTTATATGCTTTGCAGCCGGCTGGTCTTCTCAGAATACCGGTTCCCTGAAGACAGATTTCCACAGTCTGCGACAAAACCCCCGGATCGTGACCAAATCGGTGCTCGTTGCGGTCGCCGAAGCTCGTTAAGTATGAGCAGGTCAGCAACGTGATCCAAACCGGTCTCGAGCTATCACAGATGCTACGATATTTTCAAACCTGTTTGATATTATCGCCACGTGATCTCGTAATGCGAGCGACAGAGTGACAAGGTGGAACTAATCCAGCCAATCAATCTTTATGAACCGAAACGAAAAGCTACAAATGAATCAAATCAACTAACTAGAAATAAATTTAACAAATGCACAGATTGTGTATATAATACCACGTTTCATTGTACTGTTTAATTACCTCCAACTCTTTCTGCAGTACTGACAGTCCTTGTTGTCCACATCTTCCAAGCCATTGTTTCTGCCATATTCTTTTTTGTTGTGGTTTCTTTCCAATAAAATAACTGCACAGACCAGTTGAAGGGCTAGTTGATAGTCCATGCTTGGAGATATGCCCTATAATCGCTTTCTCACGAGAATTTATGAGAGAAACCGTATTTTCGCTGATGGTCGGGAGCGCCTCTTCACTGAATGTTTTGTAGTGTGCGCACCTCGTTAGCGTTGTGTAGTATGCGCGCAGCTATGACAAGACTATGACAGATGAGAACAAATCTTGTTGTGTAGTGTGAGCATAACAGTGATTCGGCTAGTCTTTCAATCCTGTAGTGTGAGCCCGGCTTAATTTGTACAGGCTGCTCGTAGCCTCTTTCATGGCGGGACTGAATATCGTTCCCATAACGGAGAAATGTCTCCTTGATGTCTCGTGAAAGCTTGAGAGGGAACGTCTCCAGTTACTATCGTAACCTCGGTTCCCTGAAAGCGGGAACGAGACATCACGGAGGTCGTCCATGTTCGCTGCTCGGCCAGCTAAGCGGCGTTCAGTATCAGATTCTGATGTAATTGTCGCGTGCACCGCATTTTAAATGTTTATGTATGCTGTAAAATGACTTTGAAGTTGTAAACAAAAATATTATTGGAGAATGGTTTACAAGAAAACACTATTTCAGTTTTTCTCCCTCAAAATATCATGTGTGACTCTAATATTGTATTCTAATCTGTAATATTGCATGTCAAATTGACCCTAATTGGTTTCACACACTGAGTGAGAAGTAATTTAACATAAATACCTCTCCCACATTACATCAAAAACAAACATGAGAACATCTGATTTTTAAAACTATATTTAACAACTACATTTAAAAAATGTCTTTATTAAAAAATATGAATATTACACTAAAAAATGCTGGGTTAACTAACCCAACTTTTGGGTTAAAAATAGAATTTTTAATTTTTAATTTTACAATGAAAAATTTAAACCAACAGCTGAGTTAGTGCATATTTGACCCAAAGTTGGGTTGAAACAACCCAGCATTTTTTATAATATATATTTTATATTTTTAATATATATACATTATTATTATTTAAAATATATTTTAAATATTTGCATGGTGCTAGCAATACCAAGATGGGTTTGATTTCTAGCAAGATTACCATGCTTGAACCGATAAAAATGTATGCCTTCAACGCAGTGTTAATTTTTTCATATAGTCTGCCAAATGCAAATGCTCTCAGAGGGTAGTTGACAACCTGACATAAAATATGTAATTTTCTTAGATTAATAACTGTTGTAAAAGTATGTTTCTTTGTTAGTTCATTATAATGTGATAGCCTATCATATAATACATATATGCATGTCTGCTTATTTTAGACATTGACATTATTTCTCATAAAAAAAATACTGGTACACTGTCTTGCAATATAAATCATGTCACCAATAAGCACCATTTATTAATGTTAAAAGAAGCCAATTTAAGAATTTTACCGGAGCAGATCAGTCCAGCATCTCCAGCAGGACCACAGTCATGTTTAAACCCTCCTTCTGCCGCACAGTTCTTTAGTGCTGACTCTGATCCAGTACACGGGACAGATCTCATCCAGATTTTTCCGGACCTGATCCAAAGTGAGCACCACGAAGAACATCTACAGGTTCTCCACAGTCCAGCTCTCTACACAACACTGCAGCATCAACCAAATCCCATGACTCCCCACACACTGTTCCCCACTGACCTCTATGATGAAGCTCCACTCTACCAGCACAGCGACTGTGACCACCAACCAACCTCACATTCACATCTATTTGTTCAACAGATAATTAACAGACCAACATCAGAAAAAAGGATCAGGAGGACAGGGAAAGAAAATTAACAGCTCTAATAAATAAATTAATAACTGCACAAAATATAGATAATATATGGCAGTTAGACACCATTAAGCTGCAGTGAAATATTGCATATAAATGTGAGAGATGTGATAATTTTCCTCTGACTTACCGGCATTGATCAGTTTTATCAGAAAGATCAGCATTAGACAGCTCTCCATCATCTTCTCCTGCTCGACCCACTATTTCATCAACGCAGCACAAGTTTCTCCTCTGCTTCCTCAAACACACTGAAGAAACTGGTTCCTGTCAGCCCCCTGAAGAAAGAGAACAAGCCCCAAAACTTTCCAATCAAGTTCATCATTACCCTATTAGACAGAACAGAGGAAACCAACAAAGACCTTGAGTGACAAATCAGAAGCATTTTTAATTTTTCACCATATACAGGTGCATCTCATGACTTAAACTACTTCAGTCTGTGTGCATTGAATTTATTTAATACACGAGTTTCACAATTTGAGTTGAATTACTGAAATAAATGAACTTTTCCACAACATTCTAATTTATTGAGATGCACCTGTACAGTATATCAAAAGGATGTCAGTGCTGAAAAGGACTCCTCCTCTTCCACCACTATGTAGAGCCTCTTCAGTGAGGATGCGCACACACTCCTACCAAAGGAAAAAATAGTAGCACATCATACAGGAGACTTGAAAGATTGCAGAGAGGAAGCACTCCAGGATATTTACAGCATCAACACCTGCTGAGATACAGAGACTGATAACTGCTCACTTGAGACCTATTACCATATGATTTCCTCTTACAACAAATAATACAATAAGATTCTTTACTAATTTTTGACACCCAGCAAAACAGTTCTACAGCATAACGTGAAAACAGGTAATTATTCCATTTTCTCTATATGTCTCTATAGAGTGGTCTATTTCACTATAGTGTTGACTGCAATCATTAACCTCAACCATTCAATCATGTTAACCAAACAATTAATTAAATAATAATGTTTAAAAATAACTTATTTAATTTATCAGAATCTAACTAAAAAATATAATTCCAAAACTCCCAAATTTAAGATAAATTTGCATCCCTGTTTCACAATCTGGCATTGTTTTTAATTATTGTTTTTTAATTTTATAAATTGCACATTCAGTTTTAATGTTATTGTTTACAACTGGCAAACCCACACAAATCAGTATCTTAAACTGTAAATAAAAAGCTTTCATTCATTATAGCAATTATACAGTACATGGGCTTGTGCGTTGAATGTGGCAATGTGTTGCTCACCCACAAGATGGCAGCAAAAATATTTATTCTAATGACAGGTATTTCATACGGCAATGCGTTAGTCTTCCAACAGATGGCAGCAAAACATTACAGAACCTAGCCAATAAGCGTCTCGCGCTTGTGTTACGGCAGGAGAGAGCAATGTTGAACGCTTGAGAGAATTGCTATATTTCTTTTTAACAACAAACACTCTCAATGATTATGTTTTTTCTGGTCAAACGTACATTTTATTGTGGTAAAATGTTTTGGTAAAAAGCCTGAAATTAAAAGTAGGACTACATAATAGTGCCTCATAACAAATTGCGGTCTGCGTGATGGCAGACATTGAGGTTTACAGTTCTATTAACAACCCTTGTAGGTGACAAATCGTTGATTCCCCAACAATAAATTAAGAGGCGGCATTTAAATATCAGCATATTGACAATCTCAACCTTTTTTTAAAGTCATTAATGAAAAATAAGAGACATAAAACAGTTAGGGCAGGGGGAAAACAATCATCACTCAGATTCATCCAGTTCAGTGGTCTCAGAAGAATACAATCCAGCATGCTGCAAACTCCATCTCTCATGTGTTTGTGTGCACTTATGTTTCTTTCACACTCTTAGGGGTCTTTACTGTCCAAAGCAGAACTTCTCCATCTTCACTCTCATCCCACAGACTAGTTCAAGTTTCTACCGGTTCCACCAACATCTGTCCATAAGCGCTGAATCAGCACAAAATTCCAGCTCAAACTATATCAGACGTCCACAGAAGAAATAATCAGCAGATGTCCCAGCAGCAGATCACGTCCCGGAGGCTCGTAGACCCTGTTTCTGCATGACGTTCCAGAGTTTGTGGAGGTTGGACTGAGTTATGAGGTCGTCTGGTTTGAGCTGCAGCGCACGGAGGTAGTTGCTCTCAGCTTCCTTCAGCTTCCCATTAAGATGGAGGATCGCCCCGAGATTCATCAGAGCTGCTGGATGCTGGGAAAACAAGAAAGAGACACAGAAATAGATAATCAGGATAAAGATGGCCAAAGAATTAGGTTTAAAAAAATAAATAGAAAAGTAAATAAAACTGACATTCTAAAATAGTGACAAGCATGATGGAATACGGTGCTTTAATCTTAAAGAGCATATCATAAAATGAGAATTTTGTTATTAAATATTTAATGCATGTAAAAGAATCAATTCTGCCAGGTCACTTTATAACATGGCTAAAGAAGGTACTTACATCAGGTCTTAAATTAGCTGCCTTCCCATAATACCTTTCAGCTGCCTCATTCAGACTGGCCTGTCTGTGGACAAACACACACATTAAGTTATTATTACTACTTTATTAGTCATAAAATATCGTATTACTATTTTATTATTATTATTATTATTATTAACAACAACAAGTGTTTGACAATATAAAATCAATATGGCAATTTGGCAAGTAGCTGTGGATGTGGACGAAACAAGTGGAGCCCACCTGCAAACCACCTGAAACTAAAATCGTGCAGATGTAGCTGTGAGTTTTTGAAAGACACACACACCTGAGCATATGAGCAGCACTGAACACCACGTCAAACTCCGAACTGTCCAGCTCTGCAGCTTTCTGAGCCATCGCTGCTGCCTCTCCCAGACGAGACTCTTCCAACAGAAACTGACCTGACAGACAAGAAAGAAAGAAAGAGGAGCTCACAGGATTGAAAACAACTCAAACACAGCAGGCCAGAAGCCCACAGGTCGAACAGTCAGAGATCAGTGCAGATACGCAGCACAAGCTTCCAAAAACACACAGAGACAAAGAAAGGAAGAGTGGAGGATGAAGGACATGAGGCACAGTGAACCTAAGTATATAATATCAGTATATAAAAATAATCAACAAAACAAAAACAATATACCTGTATAATATTATAAAATAATTCTAAATTCTAAAAACATTTATTTACATAAATTCTGTGTAATAATAATAATAATAATAATAAACAGGAAAAACAAACAATATTTAATAATAGTAATAATAATACATTTTATTAAAAAATAAAATAAATAAATGGTGGAATATTTAAAGACACTATCAAATAAAATGTCAAGTGTATATCAAAAAATATTTTTTTAAAATTAGAAGGGAAGCAAATCAGATTGTACCGTAATGCATATAGCAGTTTCCTCTAGCAGGATCCAGCTTTATTGCCTTCAGGAAGTAATGCTCTGCTTCAGACTTCTGTCCCTGTGGAGAAATTAAGAAATAATTACACCTGCACCCAACATTATTAATGAAGGGACACAATTATAACCAGACCCTTTAATTGTGTGCTTTATATGATGCTAGACGTTATCAAAGTGTGGGAAAGTATACCTTTTTTTATGGTTAGTACACTTTCTAATAAAGTACACTTCCTTTACAGTTCAGTGCTGATTGCTTCCATGTTGGTGTTACCTTTGCATATGTTCTTGTCATAAGCAGTGAGGTTATATTATGCTTAATTCACTGAACGGTTCTGTGGCAAACAATTCTGATAAGAGGATAAAGAAATACCTTGGAAAGCTGTAGCATTTCATGCTCTTTGCTACGGTTCCTGAAAAGCATTCAACTACATCCAAGAACGTTTATCAAATGTACAGGCCTATAAGTCAAGGTTTCAAAAAGCACTAAATAGCTTCAGATTTGAATTCAAAAGGGTAAATACAAAACAAGCTATTGTTTTAGCCTCAACCCGCGATTTAATCTACGAACTAAAGCATTAAATTAGCTTTAGAGGTTTTCAGAAACATATTTCCAATAGAAGCTCAAAACAGACTGCGAAACTCTACACAAGGCTGGACAGAACAGTAAACGTCTGAATCGTTCAAGTACAACATGCCATAACTTCAGTCATTTTGTCTGATGCTGTCCTGACAGTTTGACACAGAGTACCCCAGCAAATACACTGCAGTTCCTCGACAGCTGGTCAAAAGTTCACCAGTAACCTGTTTTCAATAAGGAAAGAGAGTAATTACATTAAGCGCGGTGCTTGAGGGATAATAACTGGTTTTAAGCTGTTTATTAAGCACACAGGCCAGTGAGGGGAATTTAAAGCGAGCAAACAGGTTTGAGGCAAGAGTCTGGACTCTTGACCAGCCGTGCCGGGACACAAACCCAAATCAGATTAGAGGGAGGATATGAGATATCATGTCCTGGGGGGGGACGCAGCTGCTCGACCTTTCTTTATCACCCCTCTCCGTTTACATCATAGTGGTCAGAGAGGAAAATATCACAAGCGACTGGACGACTGTTATATCATATGCAGATTTTTAAAGGCATCATAACAGTGATGTTGGTGTCTGAGAGACATTTTTGTGTTAATGTTCCTCTCAAGGACAAAGCAATTAAAAGAAACCTCAGCATTAAGAGGCTCATGAAGGGTCATCTGTGACTCAAATTATTTTAATAACCAGATATCTTTGGTCTCTTCTTTCCACTTGGTCTCCCCTTTTCAAGTTTGAAATGAAAACTTAATTTATTTAATATTTAACTATGCTTTCACAAATCCATCTAGCTTCAGGTTTTTACATTCATACTGAAAATTTAATAGCAGCAATAGTGAGTTAAAAATACAGCAGAAAAGCCTGAGACCACTAGTAAAAATGCTTCTATTTGACGTAAACATGAATGTAAAAATACAATAAATTAATAATTCTTGGCTTAACCATTGCAATTGTAAGTGCAAGTAAATAAATTAATTAATTTTAGGTTTAAATATTACTTATTAATTGCAGATTTTCAATGCGTCTCGCATTTTTAGGCACCACCACTATTTTGTTTTATCTTCCACATGTCATTCACAATGACCGTTTGGCAGAAGAAAAGCTCACAAACACAAAGGGGTATTAATGCACTTGTCAGCTTGACTCACCATGACAGACAGCAGTTTTCCATAGGTCAGGTGGGCAGGAATATGGTCAGGTTTGGCCTTCAGTGACTCTCTGTACCAATGCCCTGCCTCCTCTAGATTATTCAGCCTCATATATGCCTCACCTGTGGACCAAAGTCAGAAGGACGTGTAAAATTACATAGAATTATTTGCACTTCGTGCCATCAAATCAAATGCAGACAAGCATGTCATGGGATGAGTTTGAGGAGTTATGGATGACTTTTGCAATACCAAGGTCCTGTGTTTTACTCCCTAGGAAACATGTGTTAATAAAATGTACACCTTGAATGGACTCTAAAGTTACTTTGGATAAAAGCATCTGCCAAACAAATAAATGTAAACTCATCACATCTCCGGACACTGAATCAGTAACACAAGGGCACATTATTTATGTATCAGATTCCAGTCACATCTCCAGATGTGAAGGAGAGGAGGAGTATTGCGGCATAAAACTGCAAAGGAAAAAAATCACTGGAGATGGTATAAATATACATATGGGGGCTGAAGAACACTAAAACATTTTAGGACATCTCAATCCAAGCAGCTGAGTCTTTAGCCATCTTCAAGAAATGGCTAAAAACACATTTCTTCCATCTACACTTGACTGTCTAACACTAGCACTCTCTATTCTATTTCTGTTTTATATAATTGTTCTTTTTATTTATTAAAAAATCTTGACCCTCTAACACTTACACTCTCTATTTACTATTCACTTTTTTTAATATAACTACTTTTCTTTTTATTAAAAATAAATTTGACCTTCTAACACTTGCTTTTTTTAATATAACTACTTTTCTTTTTATTAAAAATAAATTTGACCTAACACTTGTTCTCCATTTTTTTCTATTCTAGTATCTACTTGTTTTATTTTTACTTTTAAAAAAACTTGACCCTCTAACACTTGCACTCTCTATTCTCTACTCAATTTTTATTCTAAGAATAATATTTTTTATTTATTATAAAAATGACCCTCTAACACTAGCGTTCTCTATTGGTTTTCTATTCTTTCGACTTGTTTTTTTATTTATTTTTTTAAATTGTTCCTCTTACACGAGTTCTCTATTCTGTTTCTATTCAATCTCCTTGCTTTCTTTTTATTTAGTATAAAAAAACCTTGCTACGTGTACTGTGATACTAATCGACTAATCGAGACTTGTCATTGCACTTGCGTATTATTGGTCTTTTAAGTGTTTTTGAATCTCAAATAAAAACATCTGAATGCACTGAGAAATAAACACTGACCCATCATATTGTACAAACTCTGCGGTGTAAACTGTCGTGGCATTTTTTGCACAGCTTCTTTATACATGGACAGCGCCTCCTGAGGACGACAAACAAAAACAACCTGTCATAATGTGACAATGAGAACTGTTAATTAAGAACAACCAGGGAACAATTCATACAAGAACATCATTGCATCCATCTAAACTGATAATGCATGCAGATTTCGATGAATACCTCGTGCTGGCCCTGCTCATGAAGCAATTTGCCGAGGTTGTACAAGCAGCTGGTGACGGAGCTCTTGTGGGCATGAGGGTCCTTCAGGTTCTCATCGGGGATGTCAGCGCAAGTGTGAAAGGTGCGTTTGGCCTCTTCGATATTCCCCTGCGAGACCTGGATGATGCCCACATTCAAGTATGCAGCTGTGCAAGAGGACAAAAGGGAGAACTAATTAACAAAAAGAGACTGAAAAATCCAAAATTGCACATACTTGTAAAATGAAAGCCTGAAAACAGACATTTATTCCAGTAACAGACTCTTTGGAGGTTCAAAATGGTGAAACTGAAGAGCTGAACTCACAGGCCAGTGTCGGTCTGCTTCCGATGGCCAGTTTGTAGTAATGCAGAGCCTCAGAGAATCGCTCGCTCTCCTGTAGCAGCAAACCACTGCATGAAATAAAGCACACATTGCTTTTAAGCTTGAGAAATGATATGTGAAGTAAGAGGTTGGTGCAATTACCAGAATGTGATGAAACACTGAGGTCTCTGCTCCTCTCCAGGGTTAATGAATGTTAGAGGTGTCTCATGCTTTTTAAAGACTGCAAATAATGAAACTAATGAAATCCCGTCACATACACAAGCCCTGAGCGAGAGATACACTTTCACTGCTCCTCAACTTCCCACTCTTGTTTTCTGAATGCTAAGTATGACTCTCCCAGTACAAAGTATCTTAACTATTCTTTGCAATTTTGGAGGCAAATTTTTTGAGCAATGAGCAATATTATGGCGCATATCCATATTGTGTACATCTGTTCATGTCTGTTGCCCTGTAAGCCATGTTAATTGGATTATGGCAGTTCCCATGGAAAACTGGCTCAGATAAAGTGCTGTATGACCTTGACAAAACCAACACACTGTCCTGTGAATACAGTAAGAAAGACAGCTGTGCATTCTACCATGCAAAATACTTTGCTTATTTCTGGTCACAAAACAAAACAAAAAACAAAAGACTTAAGTGCAAGAAGCCATGTTAATTGGATTATGGCAGTTCCCATGGAAAACTGGCTCAGATAAAGTGCTGTATGACCTTGACAAAACCAACACACTGTCCTGTGAATACAGTAAGAAAGAGAGCTGTACATTCTACCATGCAAAATACTTTGCTTATTTCTGGTCACAAAACAAAACAAAAAACAAAACAAGACTTAAGTGCAAGCTAAATAATTATTTAGCAGCATTTGTTTTGTATAAATACATTTTTCACAAAATAAAAAATAAAGTTTGACAGTCTTCAAAAATAAATAAAAATAAAACAAAAAAATAAAATATTAATAGAGTACCTCAAACTCAAATTAAATATAAGTATCTGAACACTTTATGCAACATTATGCATGAATGACAATGCATTCTATAATAAAAAATATCAAACCATTATTTATTTTGTTTCATATTATATTTATTTATACATTTATTTTTAGTATAGCAGCAACCACAAGCAAAAAAACTTTAGTGATACATCCACTAAAAATCACCTTAATCAAAAATTAACATTGCTAAAAAAAGACTCAAAAAGGTGAAGTTAATTCTGAAAAAAAAGGTTTAGTATAATTTGTTTTCAGAAGCCAATTGGTTTGATATTTTTATTCATTTATTTTATTTTTATATAAGTGACGTGACATGTGGCCAAGTATGGTGACCCATAATCGGAATTAGTGCTCTGCATTTATCCCATCCAAAGTGCACACACACAGCAGTGAACACACACACACCGTGAACACACACACCGTGAACACACACCCGGAGCAGTGGGCAGCCATTTTTTGCTGCGGCGCCCAGGGAGCAGTTGGGGGTTCGGTGCCTTGCTCAAGAGCACCTCAGTTGTGGTATTGAAGGTGGAAGAGAGCGCTGCACATTCACTCCCCCCACCTACAATCTCTGCCGTTACGAGACTCGAACCCGCAACCTTTGAGTTACGAGACCGACTCTCTAACCATTAGGCCACGACTTCCCCTACGATATATGCAACCTCATTCAGACATTATAAGTGTGGCGTAGTTGTAAAAAAAAACATGTCTGTGTTTGTGTACTCACAGGTTGTAGAGCATATCTGCCATATTTCCACGGTAATAAAGAGCATTTCTATACGCTCTCTCTGCCTCAGTCATCTTTCCCTGGTTCTTCAGGACATTACCCAGGTTACCCCAAGCTAAGAGTAACAAACAAAATAAATTTCACTAGTATTTACTTTGGCAGTACTATCATATCTGATATTGCAAAATTCAAGCTCGCCAAACTCACCTTTAGCAGGGTTTACAGCAATGCCAGACCTGTACAGCATCTCCTCGCTCTGCCAGTCCTGGTTCCTCCTCACAGTCTTCAGGCTGTAGAGGAGCACCAGACCTGCTGCACAGCTCAGCAGGAACGCTCTGGAGTATCTCGACCTGCAGCGAACAAACATGCTCCTCAACCCTACGGTCACGAGCAGGCAGAAGCCCATACTGGGGATGTACAGCACCCTCTCGGCCACCACAAAGCCCACGTAGAAGAACATATTAGTGGCTGGTATGAAGGGCAAAACCAGCAGCCCAAGGGAAAAGACCACCACACTCTCTGTGGCTGGAAGGGATTTTTGAGGTGCTTTGGGTGGTTTATGATATCCATTTCTTTTGGGAGAGTTTGAGTCCCTGTAGTGATTGTCATTGTGATTATGACTGTATCCATTAGTTGCAGACTTTCCATTGCTAATATGTGATTTTCCATTGGTTTCGCTGATTTTAGAGGACTGTAGTAATGGGTTTCTCAAGCTAAACCATGACAGGAGAGCGAATCCCGTGTAAAACAAAACCGACTGAAGGTTCCGCCAATCAGCGATGGATCTGAGCAGAGAAATGGCATCCATTGACCAATCAAAGCTGAGTTTGTCAGGGCAGAGGAGGAGCCAGGCACTGACAGCTGGCAGGTACAGGAAAGTGAGCACTCTGGTCAGGAAGTGAGGCGAGTCGGCTGCAGGGTTGTCAGAGTTGGAGAAGTTTGGAGGCTTGTTGCCCATCCAGTAAAACCGAACTGTGAGAAGAATCATCCCCCAACCAACCAGCCATGCTAGACTGACCAGCAAGCTCATGTTCTTTCTCTAGAAATGAAGAGAATGAAATGCATCTGTTAAGACACTCTTTTAATTTGTCCAGTAACAACATTCAACAGTGGACATAGTTTCATAACAGAAGAACTCTAATTGTTTTAGTCATGAAAAATCCCACCACAATATAATTTCCACCACATCTCACATGATGTACTGTGTTTAATAGCATTTAGAGATGGAAAAAACGATGGTGGAATATAAATCCAAGCCAAAAACAAAACTGTTGAATTTTTAAAAGTTGAATTGATCATACAGAACGTAGAAATAAAAAAAAAAAAAAAAAAAAAAAAAAACTTTATTGGGGCAAAATTGTTTGGAGTGGTGAAAATACTCTTAATTTAGATTATTTTTGCTAAATAAATACTGAAGTGTTTTATTTTTCATCTCTCTATTTGTTTATCAGTTTTAAATACATAATTCGTATTTAATGAAGGCAAGGCAAGGCAGGGAAGGGAAGGGAAGGGAAGGGAAGGGAAGGGAAGGAAAGGGAAGGAAAGGGAAGGAAAGGGAAGGAAAGGAAAGGAAAGGAAAGGAAAGAACCCATGGCACATTAAAAGAAGAAAAACACTCTTTGCATTTATACTATATACTACATCCTGCATACTGAAGTTCTTTGAGTGTAAAATTGAAAAATCTCTTCTTATATAAATGGCTCTTTGGGCACAGCATGGCAATTGACAGAGTGCATACTGGGGAAGTTGAGCTCAAAGACTGGGGAAATTAGATGTCACAAATATCGATTCCTTTATTTCAAACACAACGGGTCAGAAACTTATGGACTAAAGCCACAATAGATCCTCCACTCCCACTGAGAGTGACAATTCAATCCATGCTTCAGGGTTGAACTAAATGAGCACTCTTTCATCACCTGTTTTTGTTCCCGCTCTTTTGTACTAAACTTGTATTTTACATCAATCTTAGATTGGAGATCCCATAAAGACCTTATCAACGGAGATGTGAAAGACAGTCACCAGACAAACAGCAATTTTCCTGCAGGAAAATATTCTTCTCTGCTTATAAAGTTAGTAACTAAAATAAAAAGAACGCATAAAAACACACTGAATAACCCTCTGCATTTAGTGCAAAATCCAAACTAAAATAGTCAGGGAGTTGGAGGACGTTGATGAACTGAACTCTTTACGCTGCAGAGGACAAAGGAAGTGCTTGTTTTAGTTGCTGCTAATCACGCCACTCATAATGAGGAAGGTTGTGGGTTTGCAGCCTTCTCCACTGGGACACTATCCAAATTCAATCAGGATCTTTCAGTTTTTAACATCAAGAAAAAGGTAGGAACATCATCAACAGTAGACCTACTACAGTCTAAGTAACATCTATATATATCTATATATATATCTATATCTATATATAATAAATCTGCAAAAATGTCAACGATTCTGTGTTTTTCTGTCAATATGGGGTGCTGTGTGTACATTAATGAGGAAAAAAAATTAACTTAAATGATTTTAGCAAATGGCTGCAATGTAACAAAGAGTGAAAAATTGAAGGGGGTCTGAATACTTTCCGTACCCACTGTATATATATATATATATGCACACCTCAGACAGTTCATGCATCTAAAAGTCACTACACACCAGAAATGAACTGTATTCAAGGAAATGTGAGATCCACGGCATCATTTCACAGCTGAATTTCCTGTCACAGCAAAAATGCCGCCACATTAATCAAATTGTTGACTGTTATGAGGAAATATTCCTACTTGCACGACATTGAGACAAATGACCCGAAATATTGTGTGTGCCATCGTTGAATTATCTTAAAAGAGACTACGAAGCATTTCTCGTGAAGCTTGAAAGATTAATTTACCTTGCTAATCAGTCCTCCAAATTTTTGCCTTCCCCCCCTTAAAAGTTCAATAATCAAATTAGCATTTTCTCATTTTTTTCCAAAATAAGACAGGTTGGCTGGTGGTGTGGAGATCCTGCACTAAACCAGCAGCCATGTGCTATTCAGAAAAAGGGCAGAACACATTCCAGACAATCACCAGAGCTTTATCTCATCTCCGTCCGATTAGAGAGCAAATGGGATGAAAAATTGCCCTCTATCTGCATTGTGCGCTCATATGGCCGAACCTCAAAACTAATCTACAGCGTATTGTTTTAGACTCACACCGCATTCTGCTCAAATCAAAGCAATATCATATATCAGGGGTGTTTGTAGCCTCTAGAATATCAATGAGGGCACCCTATCTGTTTTCATTACCCTGATACGCATTCATTACCGTGTGAATTTAAAGTCTAAGACGCGTGGCATTAAATATGCAAAGTCAGAGCCTCGCTGTTCAAAAACCATTTCAGAAGATCCTGTGGGATCTTTTATTGTTGACCGTTACTTCTGCATTTAATGCGGCCCCTCTGAAGCATAGAAAGCCAATGAGCCGGTTTTACACCATGGGACTAAGAGTAAACGAGAAAGTGCTTTGATAAAGAGAAAGAGAGGAAGTGAGGGCATGGTTTCCTTTCCTCTCTACTCTTCCTCCTCATCCTCCTTTCTCTCCCCCTGTTTGCGTTCCCATGCGCTCGTGGCCGTCTGGAGGATTTGTAATCTCTCCCTCGCCCCTCTCGTGCGCCTCATGATTACCAACAAGAAAAGCCGGAGACATGGGCAGAGAGGCCACGATAAAGAGCCCACATGTGCAGCGGGGTTGGCATCTGTGTACAGAGTCTGGACTGGTAAGATTACCCTTGTATTATTGTCTGGAGACGGGTGGAGGAGAGCTGTAAAAATTCCTATTTATTATAATATTGATAAAAAGGGACATTTAAAGTTTAGCTTTGTATATTGTACAGAACACATCATGAGTTTAAGTGTGATAATTCCCACAGAATCATTGCACAGCTAAATGGCATTTGCCATAATGCAACACTTATCATTTGTCAGTTTAATAGGGTAACCTTAACAGGACGAAACACAGTAAAATACTCCTTTATATAAAAATGTCAATAAGTAAAAGCCATTTTGACGGTTCCTTTATTTTCCAAGACATTATTTTCAGGAACGTTTTAAGAGAAAGGAAAACTTGAAATCGCATCATATGACCCCTTTAAAGTACCTTAACTCCCAAATAATATAAAATATGGGATATATTATTAGCATGGTAGTACAATTTCGATACTTTGCATTTTTTCTCCTTTGCTGCCATTGATATATGGAGAAATATTTATTTTCACTGGTATAAGAACATTTTAGAGGACTTAAATTCCATTGCCATTCAGACAAACATTTTGAAGCTTCAAGCAAAATTCAAGTTTTTTTCCGCACTGAACAACAAAGTGGCATTAACAAACACACACACTGTATCAAATATATGACCAAATGTCCATGTTAAAACATTTACGCAGACTGGAGAATTAATTAAATTTGATATAATCACGGCAGAAAGTGACTTTTTCCAGCACCTGTGAAGATAATTAAAAATGTAGTTATGACGCAATAAATATTATATTGCCACATAGTGAGGTAGATATGTGGGGGCGTGTTAGAACGAGCCGTTTTAGGGGGGCGTGGCAGAGTCTTAACTTTGATAAAGAATATCTCTTTGGTTTTGAGACTTTAGTCTTTGCAACTTCAGGGATCTTATCTATGCACAATCAGCTTGTAACACTCCAAAGAGAAAGGAAAACTTGAAATCGCATCATATGACCCCTTTAAAGTACCTTAACTCCCAAATAATATAAAATATGGGATATATTATTAGCATGGTAGTACAATTTCGATACTTTGCATTTTTTCTCCTTTGCTGCCATTGATATATGGAGAAATATTTATTTTCACTGGTATAAGAACATTTTAGAGGACTTAAATTCCATTGCCATTCAGACAAGCATTTTGAAGCTTCAAGCAAAATTCAAGTTTTTTTCTGCACTGAACAACAAAGTGGCATTAAAAAACACACACTGTATCAAATATATGACCAAATGTCCATGTTAAAACATTTACGCAGACTGGAGAATTAATTAAATTTGATACAATCACGGCAGAAAGTGACTTTTTCCAGCACCTGTGAAGGTAATTAAAAATGTAGTTATGACGCAATAAATATTTTAAGTGCCCAAACACATTCATGCAATGTTGCACTAGTGTTATTTTAACCTTTATATACTAATAGTTTTTATTAATATTTTGAATATTTTTTTTAAATAATTTTTTTTTATTATTTATTGCTATCTAGTAATTTTAGCACTTTACATTTAACTTATATCAGTAAGTTGCCAAGGCAACATTGCACTTTTCCTTTTTTAATCTATATTTTTATATTTTATTTTATTTTATTTCAATTAACAAAAAAAAAAAAAAAGTTAATAACCTTGAGTCACACCGATTTAACTTTTTTGGAAATGCACCTACAAGCCTAATGGTCTATACTTAACAGTTTTATTATAACATTACACTAAAACATTAAAGACCAACTAATTTTCTAAGACATCAGGGTAATTTTCTTGCATTACAAAGATGCGTTTTCCAAGATGGGTAGGAACTTTGAGCTTCAGGTATTCAAGATTTAAGCTGAAATACATTGAAACTAGACTCTGGATTTATATCAGTATATTTATTAAATTATATTTTATATTATAAGTTTCAGGACCTGGTTTTGTACCACCTCATTGCCCCTGTTGCATTTTTGCTTGGACTTTAGGCAGATTCACACAATGAGAATCAGATCTCACCTTCAGCACCATCATTACTGCTTGCCGGAATCTCAGACGGTGCACAACACAGAGGTCATAAACGGCTGAGATGGCCAGAACAGTCACTCCCTGCTCCTTCCACAGTAAAGCGGCCGCAGCAGCACCCAAACTCCCAGCAAGCCACAGCGCTGTCCGCCATTCAACCCTGTCCGAGTGTGCTGTGCTGGCCCTGAGACGGCAGTACTGGGCATAACAGATCAGGGACAACAAGAAGCAAAAAGCTGCACCCACATCTGCTCGCCCCACCACCCCAGCTACTGCTTCAGTGTGTATGGGATGAGAGGCGAAGAGCAGACCCGCCAACAGGCTCCACGGTCCTCCACCCAGCAGGGGGCGACAGAATGCAGTGAAGAGCGCAGTGACGCAGCAGTGCAGGCCCACATTGACCAGGTGGTAGCCCCGGGGGTCCAAGCCGCCCAGGGCATAATTGAGGCGGAAGGAGAGAGTGCAGAGGGGGCGGAAAGACTTGTGGCTGCCGCTGTGGGTGAGCAGAGTGCCCCAGAAGTCATCGTACAGGATGTTCATCCATGGAGTGTCTGGTAGGAGGTCTTGGTTGGTTTTGATTGCTCGGCTAAAGAATATGGAAAGACGAAAGAAAAAAGAGGTAACATAAATAGGTGCCATATTGCATAAAAAGACATTTAGAACAACATTAACACTATAAAAGTGGCATAAAATTGGGTGTTTACAACCTAAGTGTATTCATTTACATTTTTAATTGATTGACAGCCCTAGTTATGACATAATTAATGAAGGATGTCCTTCATTATGAAGGACATCCTGAAGACCCAACATCTAACAACATCTTGACAGTTTAAGACATGATTTCACACCATTATTTTATTTTACACAAATACCGCATAAAGAGTAACATGAAAAGTTACTAATATTTAAAATCACTTGGCTCCCAAGACTATTAACAGAAGGTTTTTGTGTAAATATGTATAAAATAATTCAAAATAAAATTAATTAATTTTAAATTATTTAAAAATAAAGTATAACAATAAATAAATAAACAAATAAATAAAGTTTCAATATAATGGCATCCTAATGCAGCTTTTCTTCTCTGTAATACTGTAAGTGCTGTAAATTGTAATAGCACCTGTGAACTCATTGTATTTGTTTTTTTGTATTTGCATTTGCATTGTATTTTGCTGTCCTGGCAGTGACAGTAGCACAATATATGCGCTTTCTTAATGTATTCATCGGTTTAATGTATTCTTTTCATTTGTGATTGGCAATGATGTGGGAGTGGAGCTGATTTGAATATTTAAATTACAATGATCTCCAAAGTGTGAGACTGAAAGCCAAGGCCACGGGGGAATGAACATGGGCACATTTACTGTATCTCAGAATACAAAAGAATGAAAAGTGAGGCCAACGAGGCTCTATATATTCTAGAAATAAAATAAAACAAAATAAAGTCAGAGGGGAAATCTTACAGTAGCTAGAAGGCAGTGATATGGAATGCAATAAACATCCAACAAAAATACATCTTAAAAAAATAAATATACCTCAAAAAATAGAAAGAAAGAATAATACTTTTCTAGTGTGTTTCAGTGGTAGTTAATACATCAAGCCTTCAGTACAAGTGGCGCAGTTTCCTGTGACCCATATCTCTGTCTATAGAGCTCTCTGTGACTCCATGAGAAAGCCTGCACTTGTTTTCGACTCAGGAAACACAATGCTGGGAAAGTGAAGAAATCGACGGCTGCCATCAAGCTATGACCCCTGCAGTGAGGTCACAAACCATCAGACGCCACATATCACAAACGTTACTACACATATTGCCATTTTATTTATTGTACTGACAGTCTATTAAGTGCCAAGTGAAAAACAAATACAATTAAAAATGCACAATATATATAATTATATAATATATAATACATAAATACATTAAATAAAGAAAATTTGCTTTAACAATTAAAAAAAAAAACTTTTTTTGATCTAAATTGTATTAGAATCAGATTACACCACATTAGTTGAATCTGCGAAGCCCTTTGTGCATTTCTAGACAGTAGATCCTGAACGTTTCAGAAATGGACCACAGTGTTTGCAAACAATTGTACATTATTAACTCTTATCTGGATTTATGTAGGTGCTTATGTCATGTACATTTGATCATGAGGTAATCTTGTCCTAATTGGGCCACAGCAAATCAGATTACTGTGAATATAGTTCGGTCCATTATGAACAGCTTTGCTCCGAGGTCATAAATGAAGGTATTAGCAAATAGCATGTACTGCTCTAAAACTATTACAAACACACTCAGAAGCAAAATATGTAGACAGACAAACAAACATGCCCTGTGTGTTTAGATTTTGTGTGGTCCAATCAAATGTATATAACCCAAGATGCTCATCGGTAGACAGCTGTGACACTGAGCACTTGAGTGTCTCCAAAATATTTAAGTTTTATAGCGAAGGTCTATGTCTCCACTTACCATTCCTTATTTGACCCAAAGATAAGCAGTGCCTGAGAAAGCTGGTTGTTTTGAATGGCAGTAATGAGGCTGAGTTATGTTATGAGGTTTATCTGTGGACCTTGAGGAGGAAACACACTCAAGTTGTGACGTCCTGTAAATGTACATTTTCCTAAAATCCAGAAAGTGTCATTTGTCTCCTCGAGGGACTGGAAAAATGCAGTCCTATCTTGGAGCATCTATCCCTGCTCATTGGCAATACACTTTACACCACATACATTTGAAGTTTTCAGCTTCCAGTGTTTATAATCTCTATAAATCACTCGTGAGTCGCCTCACAAAGCCTCTCAGTCACTGAGAGTTCAGAAGGTTAATGCAGTTGACTGTGAGGGCGGCTTGATGTACAGTCATTATTCAATTCCAACATAGCCTGTGAAAGTAATCGGATTGAACGTGCAGTTGAGGGTACAAGAAGTAGTTATGTTGTACATTGTTCATAAGCAGTTATGTCTCATTGCAGTTATTGTACATATTCTCAAAATAAAATAGTCGTTGGGTTTCCAAAACAACTAATCGGCCCTGAACTTTGATTAGATGTAAACATTGCAGGTAATCAAATACATACATATTTATATTGATTTAAAATAACAATAATAATAATTTCATAAATAAACTAATGTGTTTGTATGAAATTGTTATATTCACAAATAAAATTGATTTAATAATAAAAACAATAAAAAGTGATAAAGCAAAGTTACAGAGAAATCAAGAAGAAGAAAATCACCAGCAGAGAGGCAGCTGTAACAGGTTTAAGTGTTTCTCCTTCAAAGGACCATGAGAAAGAAACAAAACTTATTTAAAAATTAAACTATAAAAAAACAGCATAATAATGATGATGATGATTATTGGAATATAAAAGTAAAATAGTTGTTATTTTAATTGTTTTAAATGTAATTAATTTGTATGATTGTATAAATATGAATTCTAATATTACAATAATCTAATACAATTACACTATTTACACTATCGTTCAAATGTTTGGTTTAGTGATGTTATTATTATTATTATTATTATTATTATATTTGGTTTATTATTATATTTGGTTTATTTCTGTCAAATTTTCATGACTTATTACAAACAAAATTATTATTACAAATTATTGCATCAATACTAAATTATTATTATTATTAATAATAATAATAATAATTTTTAAAAGATCGTATTCTACCATGTCAAACAGCTAAAGTACAGCACAATAAAGCAGATGTGACAAAAACTATTATTATTATTATTATTATTATTATCATCATCATCATCATTAATAATTTTTAAAAGATATTATTCTACCATCTGTCAAACAGCTAAAGTACAGCATATTAAAGCAGATGTTAAGAAAAAAAACACTGCATCGCACCTCATATTGGCAGATTAGTGCCGAGTATTGGAGCGGGACAGAGCGGTTTTGCATCCCTGCACAGGGGAACATGGCTGCGGTGTTAATCTGACGCTAACAAGATTACAGGCATATCATAGAGCCAGAGTATTTTAGGGGCACAGCTGGAGGACAAGGTCTTAATGACTTTAAACCTGTCCCAACAGAGATGTGTGCAACCCTTGTGTTTGTAGTTTTAACAAACTCAGTAATGAAAAGCAATCAGCTGTATGACTGTCTTAGAAAATAAATGAACTAAAATGTTACTTAGCTTAACATGAAGCAGTAACTATAAACACTGATGTTTTCCAACAGATTCCAGCAAATCCCATTTGCAGTCTTTACAACCCCTTGCTGGCAAGTATTCATAAACGCTCTATAGAAAACAATTCTGGGGAAAATTGGCATCAAAAACACGCTCATAAATGTCACCGCATTCACAAATGCTGGACCACTATGATGGATTGGTTTCATTTAATTCATACTGGCAACAAGAGTTCTCTATTTCTTTAAAGAAATCAAGTGTAAAAACATCCATTAGGCTATAAAGCAAAATTATATGATGTAGTTTGTGACGCATCTCCTCAACAGAGAATGACAACACAAAATAAGTAGTAAAAAATCTAAAATACAATTGCTAGCACATTCTTCACTGCATTAACTAAAACCATGATTTCTTAAGGTGTCACTGATATTTCAGATTTTTCTAAAGATTTGAACCCACATCCACATAACCCAGCCCATATTTCAGTTGCTGAGGAGACGTCAGTGTTGTGTACGGTACACAACATCTGATATACATCATAAACTCATTACAGCAGAAATGCCTGATCCTTTCTCTCATATGGCTTCTGGCTATAACATCACCACCAAATCACTGAGCGCTCCACTTTTAATCAGAAGCAATATCTCATATCATCCATCTGAAAGTTTAAGTATGCAACATATACACCACCAGTCAAAAAAAAAAAAGGCCAAATTTATGTTTCTTGTGATCTGAAGGCTTATGTTTAAATGCTTTAAATTAGATTTGTAGACAATATAAAGTGTCTACATAAGTATAAAGTGTATATATAAAGTGTCTACATGTTTTTACAACAAGAAACTTTTGATTGTTTGGTCACGACAATGTAAATTAAAGCATTTTTTTTCTGTATTATTGACTTATTTAACTATTTTGATAGTTAAAGGGCATCTTTTAAACAAGAAAAATCAATTCAGTGCCACCATTCATCAACATACATTCACAATAAAAGGCATCTATAGGGGTCATGCAGTGAACAAAAGCAAAAAAAAACTGAAGCAAAGAGGCAGTGATCAAAGCCACTAGGCACTCACAGCTGGCCAGATGTTAAAGCCAACTCTGGCATGAGCATTTAACTAGGCCGAGATCTTGATTAAGATTTAGCCCTCTTGTCTACTGGAAACCATTCATGAGCGCAAAAACTTATAACAGCCAATCGGAGCGCAGAGTTTCTTTTCCAGCCATCAAAGGCGCTGGCGGACTGGGGTGGAGCAGGGAAATGGTATAGTGTCCTTCAGTGCTGAACTCTTTCATCTGCTCAGAGAACACTTCCTGATTAGTCCAACAACAGCTAGAGGAGAAAAGCAAGCCAAGAAGGCCTGATACAAACATACAGCGACAGCATGCAGTGATCCAGTGCATTTAATTAGGCCAAAATATTACAGCTCCTTGTATTTAATAATGTTAACAACT